TTACACTTAGTCTCATAGGGAAGATATTTTCCATAGTTGCCACGTTTGACAGGCAGGTTGGCTACCGTAGTTTTTATTTAATTAACTATGTAATTAAATGTAAAAGCATGTAGTGTCAGTTTATAAATATCCACTATCCTTTATCTTCCCGTGGGTGTCGTAAGAGGCGACATATAGAAACAAGCTAGAAGATGGATAGCAGCATCTTGCTGATAACAACTCAAAATAATTAAAAAAAAAACTTCAGCAAACTATCCAAAATAAACATTGAGAAAGGTCTAGATCAGGGGACGGCAACCTTTTCAGTTGGAAGAGTCAAAAATTACAATTTACAAAGGAGAATGCCCATTAATGTATGGAATCCCGTACCATGTTGCATCAAAATCAAACTTTGTTTTTTATGAACTACACGGATCATATTTACTCCTACAAAAGTTTTTTTTTTTTACAGAAACCCGGGTTTTGGTGTTATTTTATAAAATCGAAAATAACCTAAAAACTAGTTCTATGTTTTCGACACTACCAACGACCAATTTTAAATAGACACGTTCAACACAGACGAACTTTATGACTCTAAAAACAGTGTTATTTACTAATATCAGTAAGAATTAAGAGTTATATCAACATATAGCCGTGCTACAGGACTGAAACTCTGAGATTTGCACCTTCTTTTTTTGCGCCCAGAAGCAATGAAAAGGGCTACCCTCCGGGAAGCGAGGTGATGAATGCTCTAAGCATACCACGACAGCCGGCTGTGTGGTTATGTGGAACTCACTGCGAAACCTAAGTGCCTACCCACTAAACACCACCTGTGAGACTGACATTAGCTTGTGTGGCCTATGTTCAGCAGTGGACTTGTGAAGGGTTGTAATGATGATGATTATGATGACGATGATGACTGTGATTACACTACCACACTAATACCAATAAAACATAATCATAAAGGTGACCAGTCAGACTGAAAAAACGCTTGTTGAGTCTAGAGAGCGTCTTGAACAATAACCCTTTAATAATCTTAAGATACTATTCATGAGAGACACTATTGCTCATGGTCATGTTATTGCCGTGAATAACGGATAGAAAAAATAAAACAAACAAGTCCATTTTTAATAATAGCTTTTGGGTTTTTTAACAGCGATTAAAAGTCAAAAACATTTATTTAATATACATTTACTTAAATCATACATTCATAATACTCCTGAAAAAATGATCTAAAGCCGTTGCCGGCGCAGTTACGTCATTATACCGTCTCCAGCTCAAATATCACAATATCGTCATTATATAAGCACAGCAGCCCACCATTCGCTTACCGACGAGGCAGCTGCAGCAATAGGTATCTAATGTGTTAGCCACAGCATCATCTCTGCTAATCAATAAATATGTGTGATAAGTACGACTGTTGACATGTCTAGATTTAATCCGAAGTACAATGGAAACTCATTAATTAAACACTCTCTGGCCTTAATCATTAAGCGTTCTAAGGTGACACGAGATTTATTAAAGAGTTGCCAACCTTTCACTACTATCACCAGTTCTCAGCTTAACTAAGTAAATACTTAAAGCAATTGTGGCATTTGGTACTTGTCCTAGCAGGACAAGTGCCAAATGCCACGAATGCTTTAAGTATTGTAAGTAGTATATCGTATAAAAGTCTAGTGACTTGGGATACAGTTTAACAAATCATAAAACTAAGCCGAGTTCATGCCAAGCCAAAAGTGACAAAAATATGTAGGCATAATTAAAATATTTGAGAAATCTATATGGTAATAGGCAGCTCGCTGCATTATATTCATAATTGTGTCAAATTGACTACCGGTAAAAATCTCTTAACTGGGAAGATAATTCACTCCAACGGCCATGATCCAGGTGGTGACGACAGATTCGTGCTGCCTGTGGCACATAGAATTTATAATTAAGTAATAACAGATTATAGATGAGGGTACCAGTAAACGTTCTGTTTCAAAACAATTAACAAATATACAGTGATTGGATGTGCTAGCGGCACGCTTATACATAGAAGACATAATTGTTGGATTTGATCTAACTTGGTATGTAGTGTGTAGTGTAACAGTGTGTAGGTTTTGTTGTGGAAGATGGGGCGGCTCAGGAATATTGAGATGCCCACTTGATCACGACATTGCACTTCTCTTGAAGCTGATCTCCAACTAGCAGCACATACTCTTTCCAATCTTGAGATCTAAAAAAATAACATGATTAAACATATAATACAAAATATTTCAAAATAGGTTATAAACTTGATAAAAGTTTGTACTGTAATGAGATGTAACTGTTAGGAATACATGATAATGATCAGGCAATAATTGTGTCAAAATAGATAATATTATCTAATACCTACAACATTATTTATTTGTGAAAGCTTCACTTATCTGGACTCAATATAATAAACACATCTAATAATAGTATTATCACTATCAACTATAGAAGATTAGAGAAAAGTAGAACATTAAAAAGAGTTTGATATTTTTTTTATATTACAACTAATAAAAATATTTACCAAATGCAGCGGGACATGTCTAACTAAAATCTGTCTCTCTTGTCAATCTTGTCTTACATGATATGTTCTAGTTGCATGTAGAATAGAATTGCCAAAGAAAAATATCATTTTCTATGACCAAAACCAGGCAATCCTTCACTGATTGTGTTTGCTCCATCTTGAAGCAGTGTCAAACACTCTGTACAAAGCACACATTCTGAAGACAACTGCAATAAAAATCATGAATAAAAAAGTGTGTTATTACACCTTGTTGCGTTATCTATCCTCTGTAACATATTCACAGAAGTTACACCAATCAAGGGTAAAGCCTTTTTGGCCTCAAACAGGTTGAATTTTTGTTATTTTTTGTGCAAGTCTAAAATAAATATTTCTTTCATTCTATAAAAATGTTTTGTAAGATGGTGGAGATCTGACATTCTTAGGTATATATTCAAAGAGTAAAATAAGATCGGCTTACCTGAGTAGGAGTTATCCACGACTGTAACAAGTTAATCATTGGAGTAGACACTTGTTCTAATGAACGTGTAGGTAGATTTCTGGGTATCAAAAATGATCAATTGATATATCGTTGGTTTTGCCGGGTGACTGACGGTATCAATTGTTCGACCCCAAGACTCGACATAATTGCACAATTAAATGCACAGAAAAGGTTCACAAAATACAACGAGTTCTACAAACGCAAAGTTAGTGTTAGTGCGTCATTACAAATGTCAGACTCAGAAACTATAAACCATAAACTGGGCATGTCGATTCGAAAAATCGATTATTTAGGGTACAATAATCGATTTTCAGATCGATGTGGGACACCACATCGATTCGATGAATCGATCCAAAAACCTCGCGAATTGTTCCGATTCAAGAACTAGCGATAAAGTACCTAAACTGGTTGCAATTTATAACTTTTAATTTTTTTGCTGTAGTCGGATGCAAAAACAACCGGTCGTTCTTGGTGGTTAATTTGAACACATAAAATAATGATTTATGAGCTCATCCAAAGATGTTGTTACTTACGTTACTTACTAATAATAAAAAAAAGTTGACATTGTTATTTCTAATCTAACCCGTGGATTCCAGCCTCTAACCTTATCTGTGCTTTTTATATACTTATCTATTAAAGGAGTTTTGGCGGGAACTTGACCGGCTGATTACTGTTCCAGTATTATTATTTAAATAATAGTTTCAAGTGGATTTTGTTAGGTTAAAGTGGTTCGGAATTTGCATATTAAATGTCTGCGCATGTGAACTATTAGCGATAACGGTGCAACAAGTGCTTCGATAGTGATGTGAATCTCAAAATAATGCGTCTGTCTGCTTAGCCACCTTGAAATACTATTACCAACTATCTGCTGGCTCAAGTGGCCGTCAAAATCTCCTAAAAACTAGGCGATGTGGTGCATCAACATGTTGTGAAGCAGTGTACTATAAAAGATCACTTGATACTAAAATAAATGAATACACAGCTAAGCCAAAAATCAAAATGAAAATAATATTTATTAAAAATATATTGTGAGTAAATATTATATGTTGAAGTTTATAGTAACGAAATAAATATTATCTATTGTGTTCGTGTAGAATACATTTCAATTTGATAAATAGTGAGTGATTAAATTGAAACCGATTTATCGAGAAGTGTATTTTTTTTCTGAAAGTGTACGCTGTTGGCCCAGGGCCTTGACAGCTTCATCTAATTAGGCTCGTAGGCGAGGACTTACGAACTATTGAGTGCAACGACTGCAATCCCGAGGCACCCCGACAGCTTCTTTCGGAGTGAGGCTCCTCGAGCTGGGGAGGGGGGGGCTCGATGCGATTCCATGGCCCCTCTCAGAATGTGATACGAACCTCGGCTTGAATCACTATCGCAATTTTGTTTACGGGTCGCAAAAATTAGAAACGCCCCGTATCACAGGTGTTGAACCTCGTGTACGGGGTGGGTCTGTGACCACGCGTTCGCCGGCGAACGCGGTATGCCCTAGTGTTCTGTACTAGAGTAGTGTCTGAGTGTGTGGAGAAATGTACGTTGCAGTTTGCACTATTTAAATTCCCAGTCGTAGCACAGAGTCTGGATTTGAGCCCAGTGTATAACAAAAGGCTCAATCCCCATTACATGGGACGTATAACATAACTGAGGACTACTACAGTGGGAATACTACATACCTACTCCTTCTGGGAAATACAAGCGTGATGTTAAGTATGTTTATTAATTGTATAATAATGACTAGCAGGAGTACTACACACCTCTGCTTACTATTTCGGGGAATTATATGCGTGATGTTATGTTTATTAATTTAATCTTATTTCTATCCAATTAGTTGTATTTAGTAAATTATCATTAATAATGTTCGGTGTCTATATTAGGCATGTTTGAAAATGTCGTGATTAATGGAAAATCAATCTTTTAACACTATTTAATCGAAAATCGATTCTGGTATGTTTGAATCGAATCGGAGATCGATTATTTTTTAACTGAATCGATATGTCTGCTATAAACGTCATTTATAGGGAGTAAAACCATAGACATAGAGCATGGACTGAGACATCCAATAAAATTGACTATACCCCAAATCCATACTTTTAAACTTAAAAGTAAATTCCCTATTCAAAAATCAAATCCCCGGACGAGTAATGTCGTAAAATAATATGAAAATAATTATTATAAAATGTTTCTCTTGAGGCGCAAGACTTTTTGGTACCACTTTTGGTCATTCTCCTTTCAAAGTTTTTAAAGAGCAACAATTTTTTTTCTTTCCAACCATAAATAGTACTTGCATAAATAAAGTTTTTGATAAAAAAAACAATCTATTTATTCGTAAGAAAAATATATATTTATTCATATATAAATAGTATTTTTCACAGTAAATTACAATGTAATTTCTATTATTATCTAATTAGATAATCACTTAGTATTTATGTAAAAAATTAAAAGAATTAAACATTTATTTACATTGTAACACTAACTTTTACTTCAATTTGATACAACAATTGAGCAAACAAATTCAATGGGAGCTTTGGCTTTGTATGGTTATGCAAGTAGAAAATTTAAACTTTACTAAACAATGTATCTTTTACTTTAAAATAAAAAATCAATAACACACATTTAAGCAAACAAATTCAATGTGAGTGTTGTCTTTGCATGGTTTCAGAAAGTTTGGTTAAATTTAGCTCATAACTTGTTTTAAGTTTCAAATACGACTCTGAATTTTCATTTGTTAGTTGGCTTCTTACTTTACTTTTAATTATATTCATGCAAGAGAACGCTATCTCGTACGAATATGTCGATCCGAAGATAGTCAGCACTCCAAATGCCAACTTCTTCACCTCACTGTAGCAATCTGGAAGACTATTCCATGCGTCGAATATAAGTGTCTCAACTCGCGGCATTTCTTTTAAAGCTGTTAATTTTTGTTGCGTTACGTATATACATTTCTGGACCTCAAACTCTTTCAACTTGATTTTTTTATAGAAGAGGAGACAAATGAGCATGCGGCTCACCTGATGGTAAGTGACTACCGCCGCCCATGCACAACCGCAACACCAGGGGAATTGCACATGCGTTGCCGGTCTTTTAGAAAAGTGTAAGCTCTTTTCATGAAGGTCCCTAAGTCGTGTCGGTCCGGAAAAATCGCCGGTGGTAAACAATTCCACAGAAAAGTTGTACGAGGAAGAAAACTCCTAGTAAAACGCACAGTCGTGGACCGCCAAGCATCCAGATGGTTAGGATGGTATCGTGAATTTTGACGCGATGTGCGTTCGTGAAATTTAGCAGCTGGAATTAATCCTAACAGTTCCTCAGAGCACTCCCCGTGGTAAATTCGGTAGAAAAGCAAGCGGCATGAAATACTGTCTCGCTCTGCTGAGCACGCCAAGCTTTTTAGAGGCCAATTTGACCTTCCCTTCCAAGTGATCCCGAAACTGCACACTATTCGATATATTGACGCCAAGTATTCCGATGCTAGCTGAGGCAGCAAAGGGAGTGCCTTGAAACTGAGGAGATACAAAGGGGTACTTTTTAGCAGTAAACGCGCAAATTTGTCTTCTGGGGATTGAACTGGACTAGATTTAGTCACCCCCAATCCGAGACTTTGTTCAGCAAAGACTACTTCAGACACAAGTTTGTCCCGGTACTCGGCGACGTTTTCCCGAGAAATATTGGCATGGCTGGTATGTAAGGCATCACCAGTGCTGTCGTCTGCAAAGCAATGAATGTTACCAGTTTCAACTTTAGAAATTGCATTTCTAGAGATCCAATATCAACTCCAAGTGGATCGATTTTTAAATGTTTTTTTTTTTTAAATAAAATAAACAATATTTGCGTATAAAACTAAAGGGCCGCAGCTTCACATCCAAAGAGCCGCAGGTTGCCGTCCCCTGGTCTAGGTCTCTCTACTTTTGATGATCTGTACTTCCAAATAAGAAGTTAAAAATAAATTGAGATTATATTTAATATTGTTTATGATGATACTATATTTTTACCATCTTTCGGGGCTGAAATCTCTGACTGATAATTTTCTAACTGAAAAAAACAAGTATTAAACTTATATCCTTCTTATACATCAGTATATTTTATTAATAAAAGTAAATTTCATTTTCAGATCCCGTTCTCGTCGCTCTTCGCGTAGCCGTTCACGCTCTAAATCACGACCAAAGAGCAAGAGTCCAGTTGCCAAATCTCGTTCCAGATCACGATCAAAGTGAGTACTTTTGTTAATAATTAGAAATAATTTGAGCAGACTTTTTGGTACAATTAAAAAAAATATCTTTAAAAAATACAAATATGAATATTTACTTCTTAGCTTTTTTGGTTCTAAAAAGCCACTAAAAAGTCTGCAATTAAATGTGATAAACTGTAGTTTCCATTTCAAAATTAAGCTTGCATGAAACTTTTTTCTTTATCCTGTTGCCACACAGCTGTGCATAAACAATAAATATTATTGAATATTTGCATGATTTCAATAATAACTTAGTATTCATTTGGCTAGGTGTGTTATTACATGTGCTGAGCAAAACTTGAAGACGTAAGTACAGAGTAGGTACAGTATATTTGAATATATGTATGGGAGTAGGTCTATAATTGTTGTTAGATTCTAAGTCTTCAATTGAAATTTCTGTCTTCATTCAAATTTCATGCAAATTTTAAAAATATAAGTGTTGAACTTCCTGTATCAAATATACATTTGCAGAGGATCATGATTGGTCGAAACTATTGGTGTACTTTGATCACTTACTCCATCAGATAATACACAACTTCCAATTACTCTTTGGCATTGATAGTATTTTAACTGCTTCTTAACTCCCATCTTATAACGAATTCTTTAATTTCCTGGCAGTATTGTAAAAAGTGTTTAAAGTTGCTTTGTTGTGCCAGTGGTTTGAATATGAATGTGATATGTTTTGTTTGGTTCAATTTTTAATACACTGGGTTTCATGTGAACCAGAGCAAAATTTGGAAATTTGTGGTGTTCACTTAACATCTTTTCTTTCTCTGCAAGAAGATTAATGGTTGACAATTATGTAATTAGTAAAGAAAAAATGCGTCAAACGTCTAAAAGAATGATAGATTAGGTGAAGTGATTATCACTTGCACGTCCATGTGTTGATCTGCCAGGGGTACAAGGTTTTCTTAGTGTTTCTGTTATGGTGGAACTACTTGGCAGACAAGGGGAAATAGAAAGTGTCTTACATTCTTACAATATGTAAGTTTGTCACCAAGCTGTGTTTATCTACCGATTGTTGTGAACAGGTTTTAAGATAATATTAAAAAATGTTTAATTATGTTTGTTTGTTAAATAAATTCATGATAATGGTACCTTTAAAACACAAAATAGTTTTGACGAATCCATGCTCTACAATGGTTGTTTAGTAGAAGTAGTAAACTTATTGTATGAATTACTCGAATGTTCTCCACCGGCACTACATTAGGGAGCGAAGCCGTTCCAAGTCAGCTTCCCGGTCCCCGTCGCGTAAGTCCGACCGCCGCGAGAGATCAGCCTCCAACAAGTCGATTGACAGGAATGGGCGCCGTTCTACATCCAGGTCAAAGTCCCGCTCGCCTAAAGACTCCAAGTAAGTTTGTGTGCTTTCAATATTACTGACGGATTTGCTATGCAGTGAGATAATTTCTCAAGTGTTGCAGAAAAATAACATGTCTTGAAGATTGATATGGATCGAAAAATACCATAGAATCGCGCAGGTTCATGCTTACCAGTGTTTAAATCTAGCTTATAATTAATATGTCCATTAATGATGATCAATGATTTCTTCAAGTTGCAAAGATAAATAATCTCACTCGAATAACATAGTAAGCATCTCCGACAGTTATCAAAAAATAAAAACATCCATTGGCATTTTTGATTATAATAAAGACAAAATAATTTAGCTATTAATATTAATTGATGGCACAAACAACTTATTAACTCGAAGCATATTTTCCTGTCTCACTAGAGTGAAAGCAGAGTGCAAAAGGTGAGCGCCATTTATTGTGATGTAGTTGTTTTAAAGCTTTATATTTATAATTTTTTGCTTACACCTGTATCTTTTATCGAAAGCATACATTTTTTTACCATATTGGAGTCCACTCAAAAGCCAATTTTTTAATTGATGCGTTTTCACGAAACGATGCAATATATATGTTCAATTTAAAATAAAACAATTACAAAATGTGTTAACATTTCAAAATGGCTTTTGAAAATGTACATGCTGTATAAAAATATTTTCTTCAAACAAAAAGTTTGTACATAGACTAATGTCGTAGATCTGAAATAGTGCTTTGCCAGTGCTGTAATTGTAGTCTTTGATGTTTTAGCCAGCTTGAGGTCTGTCCTTCCTTGTACACACATTTGTTACAGTTACGTAACTTGTAATAACTAGTTTAGTTTTCTTGAGAGAAAAGTTTACTGCTAGTATGAATGTGTTAAAGAAAAAAGTAATTAGTATTATTTTCTTTAATACATTCATACTAGCAAAGTAAGCCGATTATACCTCTACTTAAAAGAGTAGGTTTTCTAATGGACTGTTTTTCGTTTTATAGTATATGTACGATTTATCGTTACATCATACATCAAAGTAAATTTCATATATGACCGAAAACGACTGAAATCGCTTTTATTATTATTATTAAAGATTGGATTTCTAAAAGACATAATAATCAAATAAGGTCAGGAGAAACATTTTTACATCGCACCAATGAAGAATGCTGGCACTGCCAATTCATAATGTCTTAAAACTTCCAGGGAGAGGTCACGATCACGAAGCAAAGACGGAGCATCACCCAAACGTGAGGAGGAACGTCGGGCCAGCAAGTCCCGTTCCCGCTCGCGCTCTCGGTCCGGGTCTCGCGACCGCTCCGCTTCCCGCTCGCGCTCGCGCTCACGCTCGCAGTCGGGCTCGCCGCGACAGAACGGAGACGGCCGAGACCGCGCCAGCACAGATCGCTCCCCGCGCAGCGGAGATTAGCTTTAAGATATTTCTTAGATTTAATGTTAGTTTTACGATCTCTTGTGGCTTCAATCATTTCTGTTGTCAAAAGCCCTGTGCATGTGGATACTTATTGTGCGAAATAAGATTAAGTGCAATATGAAAGCCGATTTTATGTTAGTATCTATCATATTTTTTACATATGAAACGGGAGTCTTAACACAGTTTCGTGAATGTATATTGAGCTTTTAATTTTCATTAATGAAATTTATTAACAAACACCAACCTAAAAGGGCTTTTTTATTTTACTCCTTATTTATTTTATTCCAAAAATGAACGACATATTCTTGCTACAGTTATTCGTAGTTTACTACGAATAATTGTTACAATATATTATATGTCTACATGATTTCCACATCGAAATCATTCATATTAAGTATCCTCATGCGCATATTAATTAGGTGTCTTAGGGATCGCGGTTATAATGTAAGAGTTAATACCCGCACCGTGTTTGCGGTTCTTTTTGTCATTTACACAAGAACTGTCGTTTTTAACGTGACGTTTCACAGTTTTCAAATGGCACTAGTGTATTAAATAGTATTTGAATAAGTACCTAAAGAAATTTTGCTCGGAGAACTCATTATTATTCTACTCTAATATTTTGTTTTTATAATAATCCTTTTCATCTTGTTGATACGTGTTTTTTTTTTATTAATTAAGTTAAAATGTTTGCGTATGAAAAATGCATTTAAATTTTTCATAAATCTTAAATTAAAAAAAAAAACAAGGTCTAATGTGTTCTATGACAAAAAGTACTCTGTAAAATGACATAAATGCAAAATTTTTCACCATGTTTTTGGTGGATATAATATGTAATATTTTGCTTAGACATCCTATTTTATTTAGGTTTAATGGTATTTTTTGTAAATACTTAATTTGTTAGTCGCCAAATAATTAAAATAAATTATAAGATTACAATAGTTGTTTTATTTCTCAATTCCTTGTTCTGATAATCATTGCAATAAACTCTCCATTTCCTGTAGAAAAATAATATGTATGAGGAAAATGAGCCTGGGTTAGGAAGAGGCAACAAACCTTTTAAATCTTACCTTCAAAGTGAACCTATTTAACCGGTTCAGTGCGGGGGACACGCCAGGCGTGCCATCGATTACTTTTGTGTGTGGCGTATGACACGCGAGTCGTGTCTTTTTTAAAATCGTTATAACTCGGTCAAATTGCTTTTTTGGAAATTTTCCAGAACAAAATATTCATTATTTTGCGAGTAGTTCATGCATGCAGCTTCGTTTCTGGATAATTTGAAATTTCTAGGGGTTGACAACCTTTTAACTTGTACATGGTACTATTTTTACTTTGTGGGTTTTAAATCATGTTATGGAAAAATTGTGTAATAAGTAACAAATAATAGCACTAATTGCGATCGTTCACAAACTCAAGTTGTAAATAAATTTCTGGAAAACAAGTCTCCTGTTAAAAAAACAATGCGTTTGTCTTATTGTTTAATTTTGCTTAAAATGGTTGAACTGCCGTCTTATTACTATCATATGGCCGAATAGACCTACGAAGTACCATGTGCTCTTGTGATATGGTATAAGGTTTATTTTTGCTTGAAACAGTTCGAAACCGTTCAGGCATAAAAGAAGTTCGCTAATAAATAGTCTTGTCAATCCGCCGCCGTATAGCGCCGGCGTTATTTTCCTTTTGAAAACACTTGCGACGCTCGGTCGGTTGCACGTGGGCGTCATTTTTAGTCCTTGCCGTGAAGTAAAAACAATGAAAATGTTATTAAATTTATCGAGGCCTTTAAAGAAAAGCAAGTACTATGGGACCCCAGCCACAAAAGCTTTACAACAGGAATCTGAAGCAGGAGGACTGGGATGAACTCTCCGTCGAAATGGAGTGTCCAGTTAGCGAATTGAAGAAAAAGATGGATTATTTGTTGGCAGCCCTTCGCCGTGAAAAAGCAAAAATCACTAAAACCAGCACAACAGGAAAAGGTAAGTAGGTACTTCTAGTGCGTGCAAAATCTATGCCGGTTTGTGAAGTTCGCACAAGTCGGTTAATCACGTGCCCAGGACTTGCAAAATATGGGTAACTAATCTGGGCTATGGGAGTGTGATGGAGGGACAGGTTACTGGGCTATGGGCTGAGACTACAGACGTCTGCAATGTAGCATCTCAACTAAAATACATTATTATTATTATTTTTAATTTAACTACACACTAATACCAGAAAAAGCCAGAAATTAAAAACTACTCTAAATATGATGGGATTAGAATAGTTATACTTATTTCCATATCGTAGTAGTAATCACTGCATAATTTTAAATTATAGGAGCTGATGAAGTATACCAGTCTTCTTGGTTCGCTTTCAAGTATTTGCAATTTCTGATGGACAGAAGCAAACCTCGCCCGAGAATTAATACTGTGAGTATCTTCAGCACAACCACATTATTACGTTTAACTTTAATTATTTGTGTTTTTTTTATTTAAAAAATTACAAAATTTTTATTAGGAGACACCATGTGGTTGGCACGGCGGCATATGCTACGGCCTTTAAGTGTAATTCATATGATCTTGCCATGATAATTTTCCGACTGTACAGCAATATTCAGCAATTTTATCCCTTATTATCTGGGCCGACAAATAAGGTCTGCGTGGAGTATTCGTGATAGGCAATAATCTAGTTATATCGTTATTTTCGAGACGCCATCTTCCCGTTGTTACTGACCCTTCTACTTCACTATCAATACTACCTGGTGGTGCATAAATTTTAGCAGAATTAGTACTTTTTATAAAAATGTTGTGAAGATGACATATTGTCACCACAATCAGTTGTGCCGTTTCAGGTTGGAGTAGCATTGGCTTTCGTAGTACTCTAAAAACACTAGCTGAAATGCCAAAAGCATTTTCAATCACTCGTCGAGCTCTTGATAATCGATAATTAATTTTTTTTTAATGATCGTTTAGGATGTACACCTGGATATGGCTTCATAATATGGATACATAAAGCGCGGCGCCCACCTAAGTAACGTAACGCGTGATCTGACGCGTGATTTGACGCGTAACTTGTCACTCGCCTCAACATTCAAAGGGATTGTATGTAGCAGCGCCCGTTAGCGTGGCGTGACGCCGCATGACGTGACGTGCCATTCAGCTTGCTACTAGTGACGCATCGAAGTGGCGCGTAACACGTAACTTTCAGTGACTTGTCTATACAAAATGAAAGACGACCTAGTTTTTTTCTTTTCATGAAAGGCCATGTATACAATATGATGATTGTTCTAAACCCGATTACATTAACAGGAATTCGCAAGATACTTCTTGCAACTTTGACTTGCCTATGCAAAATATAATTCTAATTCCTTCATAGCATTGAAAGTCCCACCAATTTTCAATTTTTTTCCTCAAAGCATGTACCCGAAATCTTTTGCTGGCACTTGGAATGTTTGAAATCTGTAGCATAGCAAGGGTATGTTTATCTTCTTCAGACGACATTTTGGCTCAAACAGAATTCTACGATATGCTATTGTTGCACAGGTTGGCGCAAGCAGTGTCACCCGTGGTCACGTCAGAGTATCGTCAGAATCATGCTACAAGCCATGTCGAAATCATGTAGCTTAGGTGGGCGCCGCGGTTAATGGGAATGCACTGTCTGCTACAAAATATAAAGTTATATGAAGCATCAACTAAAGCGAACATAACAATACTAAAAAATTGTTTATAATTATAAAACTCCGATCCGCTATTGAAAGGTGCCTGCAACATAATGTGTTTCCCGTCCATTGCACCAACCACGTGTGGAAGATCCCAACAATTTTGAAACTCGGAACTAATTTCCTCCCATTCTTGATGCGGTGTAGGCATCTGTAACAAATATATTATAATTATTTTATTTTGTTTGCAGGAAGGCCAAGACCGCGCTTCGAAGGATAATACATCTGAAAATGAGGAAAATGACCACATAGGTGAAGATCATGATCAGTCACAAGATAAACAACCCCGTTCCACCGCGAGCACTGAATCGGACCAAACAACCGATAATGCATAGAATTCATCAAAATCGGAATTCATATCTCCACTTCCGAAAAAGAGAAAATACGTCGCGAACCAGGACCACCCAATGTTGCAATCGGCATTTGATTTGCTGAAATCATCAGCTTCGGCTGCTAAAGCGGTAGCTACTGCTTCAACTGCACCCGCTACTGGATTAGACCAGTATCAGCTATACGCTAATTATTTGGCAGGCAAATTTAGAGGTTATTCCAAGCAAACCTACATGACTGTGGAACATCAAATAAACAACATCCTATATAACGCTGATTGTGTACAATATGAATATCAGCGCGGGTACTCCACTCTGGCATCTACATATCCCATGGCTGAGACTACACCTCCTCAAATGTCTGTAAACTCTGCTTATTCAAACTGAGCACAAAGTTTAGCCCCGTACATGACTGAAAATCAAGTACATCCTCCAGTGACTCAAGTGGATGATTCGTCGATGGATTCCGAAGATTCTTTTCGTGATTTGATCCATGACATCAATTATTAGTAATAAACAATTATTGTTTATTAATAAGAATTGTTGTCATGGATTGTTTATTACCAATAATTGATGTCATGGATCAATTAGTGTTTCTATAATAAAAAAATTCCTACCTTGATGTTGTCTTTTAATGCCTCTACGATAGCTTGACAGGTCTCTGGAACTACAACACTTATCGATTGTTTAGAAACTCTGAATAAATATTGTAGGCTTGTATAGGAATCTCCGCTGGCTAAAAATCTCAAAGTGATACTTAATCTTTCTTCAACAGAAATTGCTTTCCTGTATGTAGTATCCGTTTTTTTAATTTTGTGGCCAATCAAATTTATCAAATATTCAAAATCATTAGGTGCCATACGCGTGAAGTTTTTGTATTTACCACTTATGTGTTGAAATCTTAGGTCTCTCATCAAAGCTCTTCCTCCAAGTCTGTTTCTGTTTCTAAATAATTCCGTTTGCCAGCTCTGTCTCTGTTTTGGTTTTGAGATTAGAATATTGTGAATGACAATAAAACAGGCACATGAAATTGCTAAATTCTCGTACACTTCAACCAACTGAGACGACATGTTTAATCGAGAGCAGAAACTGAACTGGGCAATTTGATACGCGATCATAACTATTGTGAAGATACGGATACGGAGCAAATCGGAGGCGTCCACAACTTGATACGGGGCTTGATACAATACGGTACGGTGATCGGATACGGTGATAGGATCGGGCAAATGATACATGTCTGGACCCGGCTTTACGGACGCGGACTCTGCTTCTAGGTGTTATTATTCTAAGCTCACGGGTGGCAACGCATCTGCATTTTGATTCGCAAACGAGGATAAACGTAGATGTCTATGGGTCATCATTAACCACTTACCTTCAGGTGGACTGTGTGCACGTTTGTTACCCTATTCCTATAAAAAAACCACCTGGGGTATGCAGGCGGTGAGATTGGTTGTACGCGATTGATAATGGTGGCACTTCACATGGGTATTTGTATTTGCTGTATTTGACAAATAACATCCATATGTGAAGAGTATGTTTGCCATACTTATTGCCGTATTTGCCTATTTGGCAAATACAGCCAATAACAAATACGGCTTACCGATCGTTTGTCGGTTTTTCAAGGCTCTTCAAAGGAGACAAATAGGCAAATACGCAAATATACTGACCACACATGGTCGGTCTCATAAGCGCGCAAACTGTCAACCAGTACGGACGGACCTGTTTATAACCTCTTAACCCATTCAATGCCTTGCCCGCCCTTGGGCGAGTAAAACCTTTTTATTCACATGCCGAGCCCGCCAATGGGCGGGCGAATTTCAAACGTTAATAAGTATGCCATATAACATGAAAAAATTATAAGATTTTGTCTGATAACTGCGGATATCTAAGGTTTTAGAAAATGACAATTCTGACCTGTTATGCCGACCCCGCCCATGGGCGGGCAGTACGCGTATTCAGAATTAACAAACCTTTTGTTAAAATTTTAATCAAAAACTATAAAATGTAGTAAACTATAAAACCGTAACAATATACAAGCTGTTACAAAAAAGCGGGTAATCCTTTTAGGGAGTGATTTCATTGGTCAAATACAACAACTTCTTTTATGGGACCTATATCGAAATCTCAAAAAAAAATTAGCTTCCCCATACTAAACTGCCGATCAGCTGAGACGAGTTTGTGTGGGTAATTAATTTGTTTTGAGATTTCGATATAGGTCCCATAGAAGAAGTTGTTGTTTTATAGCAATAGAATCACTTCCTAAGAGGATTACCCGCTTTTTGTAACCTTCTAGATAAGGCAAAATACTGTCGGTAACAAGGAAGCAAGATAAGAATGCAGATGATGATCTACATAAAACGAGCCGATCGGTATTCGTCACTTTGAAAACTGATAAAGTGCCGACACCTTTGTTTTGGTCACCTACCATACAGGGGCGTAGCTACCGCCGTATCAATGATACGGGGCCCCCGGGCTACAGAGGCCCCAAACGTGTGTGAGCAAAAATTCCAAGGACTTCTATGGGAGAGGAAAAGCTATCACTATTGTCTATAGAAGTAAAGAATTTAGTAAAACTGAAATCGTCTTCAGCTATGAATGCAGCCGAATCTTCTTCAGCTGTGTTCGCCGAACAAAGGGCACGAAAAGTGTATATTTGATTTGAATTGTTTGGCTAGCTTAGTTCCTAGGAGTATTAATTGTAAGTAATAACTCGAAAACCCGTGTAGTGGCACGGGTGGCAGTGGAGAAAACTCACTACCCTATATCTTCCCGTGGGTGTCGTAAACGGCGACAGAGAGAAACTGAGGCAGAGGATGGGCAGCAGCATCTTTCTGATAACAAGAAAACAACAATAAAAAAGCTGCGTTTGGCAATCGGCTCGCCAAGCGCGGCAACTATGGCAATATACCCCCCATGAAAGTAACGAAGAGATGGCCTCCAGTCCCCGGCGGCCCCGGTATTCCTGGCTACGGTGGCGACCATGGTAACGGCGGGTGCTAAGAATCTCCGGTGGAGGTTCTGTTGTCACCTACGACGATTCGACCTGGCAACTTATAACGCACGCACCCTCAGGACTGACGAGAAGATCGTGGAGCTGGAAGCAGAGATAGACAAGTTGCGCTGGAATGTCATAGGATTATCCGAAGAGAGAGGGAGGACACCTCGAATCCGGCAATTTGTTCTATCACCAGATGGGCGACCATCTGTCCCAAGGAGGTGTTGGATTTATCGTCCACAAGTCTTCTTAACAACGTTGTAAAGATTGGGAGTGTGTCGACGAGGGTTGCGTACCTTATACTCAGAATCACCAAACGGTATTCGCTGAAGGTCATACAGGTTTACGCACCAACCTCGGAACACCACGATGAGGAGGTGGAGGATATGTATGATTCCTCCAAAACCTACTATACGGTGTTAATGGGAGACTTCAACGCAAAACTAGGCACAAGAGAGAACGGTGAGCTGAAAGTAGGGAATTTCCGGAATAGGGCAACGGAACCCAAGGGGCCAGCAGCTGGCCGACTTCATGCGAAAGAGGGACTCTTTATGATGAACTCTCTCGTCCAGAAGCAGCCCCACAGGAAGTGGACCTGGTCGAGCCCCGACGGTTCGACATAAAATGAGGTTGACTTCATTATGACGACCAGACGACAACTGTTCAGTGACTGAAACCGGTAGCGATTACCAAATGGTGAGAGGCACACTGAACCTAACCGTTGAGTTGGAGAGGTCACGTCTAATGAGGTCAACGCTCCGTCCCTCGTGCTCTAATCCAAAGTCCCGAAACCTTTCAGTTCGAGCTACGAAACAGTTTTCAGGGCCTAGAAGATTGCAATGCAGTGGACGATATGAATGACAAGCTCGTGGAAACTGTCCATACGGTAGGAGCTAAGTTTTGCAAGACCCGCCGCAGAAGAACACAAAAAATCTCCAATTACACTCTTGATCTCATGGCTGTTAGACGGGATATGAAGCTGCAGTCTTCAGTAGATTTGACAGCATACAGGCAACTGAACAGACAGATCTCCAAATGCATGCGGTGGGACTTACGCAACTTTAATACTGCTCGTACGAAGGAAGCGAGCGGAACCAGGACTCAAAAGTCTTTGCTAGAGATCTGTCTGCTGGAAAGAGCCAACTGTCGAAGCTGAAGACCGAGTGTTGCAGCGTCGTTTCCGGGACACCTGAGATTTTGAGTGAAATTGAGAGGTTCTATGGGTAGCTGTACATATCATCCTTGCAGCCACACGTAAGTGTGAGTAACGATCCAAGAGCGAGTTTTATCTGACACTATTCCGATGATATACCGGACGTCAGTCTGAGCGAGATTAGAATGGCTCTCCAGCACCTTAAAAAAGGCAAGGCCCCAGGCGAGGATGGAATTACAGCGGAGCTTCTGAAAGCGGGTGGAAAACCGGTACTTGAAGTCCTCCATGGTGGCATTACACCGGAGGCGTGGAGCAGAAGTGCGGTGGTCTTGTTCTTCAAGAAAGGTGACAACGCTCTCTTGAAGAACTACAGACCGATTTCCCTTCTCAGCCGCGTCTACATACTGTTTTCGAGAGTCATTACGAATCTTCTCGCGCGCAGACTTGACGACTTCCAGCCTCCCGAACAAGCCGGTTTCCGAAAGGGCTTTAGCACCATAGACCACATACATACCCTTCGGCAAATTGTACAGAAGTCCGAAGAGTACAATTTGCCACTATGTCTGGCGTATGTGGACTATGAGAAAGCCTTTGATTCCATCGAAATTTGGGCGGTGCTGCAGTCCCTTCAGCGATGCCAAGTTGACTGTCGGTATATCGAAGTGCTGAAGTGTTTGTACAGTAGGGCTACGATGGCTATCCGAGTATAGAACCAGAGTACAAAACCTATCCAATTGCAGAGAGGTGTAAGACAGGGTGACGTTATATCCCCGAAACTCTTCACCGCTGCAATGGAAGACGTTTTCAAGCTTCTGGACTGGAAAGTATACGGTATTAACATCAATGACGAGTACATCA